GTGCCTCAGTTTCCTTATCTGTAAAATGGAGATAATAATAGTATTTACTTTGTAGGATTACTGTGAAGAGCAAATAGATAATAACTATAAACCAATTAGGACAAGTGCCTAGCGTACAGTATGTGCTATGTAAATGTTAGTTATTGTTGTTGTTGTTGTTATGGTGTTACCTATCCAAATAAAGCAGAGTCTGCCTAGTGTGAAACTCATTCCCCAATACATTATTAGTGAGTTGAGAGTTCAAGCAGGACAAAGTGGATTGGTTTGGGTGGGACCAGATTATCTCCTATGTCCTTTCCAATACCAAAGTTCTATGGATTTGGAGGAATTGATCTGCTTAATTTCATAAACATACATAGCCAGATTAGACAACTTGGGCCAAACAGATAATTTGGGATCTCAATCATTCAATTTGACTATATAAACTAAAGATCAATTAGACAGTTCCCAATGATCTAATTATACAGCATAGTGAAGTAAAAAGAGTATCACACTGAGTAGTGAGACCTGAATTCAAGTTCTGGCTCTGAGACATACTAACTTTGTGACTTTAGCAAGCCGGAACATCATTTTCCTCATCTGTAAAATGATGATCTTCTACAGCCTACTTCACAGGACTGGCAAATGATCGAATAATAGGTGTTAAAGTGTTCTATTATCTTTTAAAGAATTGTTAATGATTATTATCATGTAATTATTACCACATAGTAATTTCTACTTCATTTTGTTCTGTGCAGACACCAATTTGAGGGTGGGAATAGAATCTGCACCAATCTAAAGAAGGGCAGAGCCTTCATAAGTGACATCTGTGCCTGGGGAAAGTGGTACAAGTTGTTGTGTTGGGCATTCCCAAATCAACTCTTTAAGCCAAATTAAATTGGTGAAGTAGAAAGAGAAACCATAGGGAGAGACCTTGGCCCTCAAGACATGGCTTCACTGGGGGAAAAATTCTTGGACACTAGCCCTAATGGTCATCGCTGGTAGGACTTTAATGGAAGAGGAAACAGGATGAGGTTGAGCCAGCAGCTCAGGATGCCATGTTCTGAAGGAGGAAGCATCTACTTTTGAGAAGCTTCTCAATTTAACTCTGTATTCAATCTGATCAGGTGCTGAGTTTGCTTGTGTTTACTTGACAAAAGAGTACAGATGATAAGAGCATTACATGAATTTCAGTGCTCTGATGCAAAGCCCTGCTTGCTCTTACCTATTTGTAGCTCTGGAAAGGAACAGTTAGACTTTTTGATGAGTAGGCTACTATTTAGTACAGTCACTATAAAAGGAGTGTGGAAGACAGAGGGGAGAAGAGAAAAGAATACTCATTTATATAGTACCTACTATGTGCCAAGCACTTTTACAAATATTATCTCATTGTATCCTTACAACAGCCCTAAAAAGTAGGTTCTATTATTATACCCTTTTTACAGTTGAGGAAACTGAGACAAACAGAAGTTAGGTGACTTGCCCAGAGTCACATAGTTAGTAAGTACTGAAGAATGGATTTGAACTCAGGTTTTCCTGACTCTAGAATATATCTACTGCACCACTACCTGCCCTGGTAGGTGTTATGAACATGAAAGTTAAAGATCTAATGAATAACATAATGACATAAGAATCCTCTGAGTCTAACTGGCCATTCCAAGGAGAAAAATTATCTAGGGGAGAGCTGAACTTATCAAATGAATGATCTATTTTATATGGTTTAAATCTCAGAAGTAGGTTGAAATACAGACCATTTTGGATTCTAAAGTAAGACTCGATCCTACGAATCCTCACTTTATAATAACAATTAAGTAACATTTATATAATGCTTCAAGGTTTCCAAAGGGCTTTACATATCATTTCTCATTTTCTGTGTGTACTTAATTTTCTTTTGTTTTGAGGAAGAAATTGGTGTGAGAGAAAGAGAGGATGTCTGACTGTGACATGCCTGACCCACAGTGCTAACAGCAGGGACATCCTGGGTTTTTAATGACTTACCCTTTTAAATTTCTAGGTTTTTTTTCCTTTCCAAAGTAGTTAATGACTATTAGTTCAATCTGTATTTGCAAGTAGCAAATAAGAGACCCAGATCAAAGTTTGGAGGGTCAAAAAATGCTTAACAAGGAGATGCTTCCCTAACAAGTTCAAAAGAAGCAAGTTAAATGCCAAAAAAAAAATTGTCTGCAATATAAACAAATGTTAAACTCTTTATCAAACAGCCAACCTAAATCTTCCTTTTCTATCTGGGGAAATAGTACTGAACTACTATCCTAAACCCACCCACAGTGTAGAAAATCCTCCTCCAGAATCCTCCTGGATTTTCTACTTGATCCAGGTTTACGGTGCTCAAGAAATTCAGCTCATAATAACCAAGATCCTTATGAGCTTGGTTAATAAATGACTGTCAATATTTTAACCTTCACATCTTATTCTGTACTGTTGGTATTTTTTTTGCTTTATATAAATTCTTCCTGACTGGTTCATCATTTTTTGGATTAACAGCAGGGAATGCTTTAACAGCAGACTAACAGCAATTAACAACAGACAGCAGGAAGGAAATATCCTTCCCCCACCTCCATCACCCTTCTCCTGAAATTAGTGGATATTTACCTAGGGAATGCAAACTAATTTTAATATTAGACCAAGAAGAACTTAATTAGGTAGGTAACTCAATTTCAAGCAAGACTATATAGTGAATTATATTCCAAAGTTGGGCATAATATTTATAATGATATTTATGTTACTGAATGTACAAAAATGCATATTATCTCCCCCAACCAGACTATTAACAGTCTTAAAAGAGGCCTCATGCCCAGGACTGGAGAGGCCAAAGTTCTGCTGTACTCTGCCCTGGTCAGACCACATAGGGATTAGAGTATTCAGTTCTAGGTACCACTTTTTAAATTAAAATTTTTTGTTTATTGTTTAATTTTACTTAAGTTTGATTGGCATCTTTTATTTTTGTATCATCATTTTTATTTCTAGATATAACCCCTCATTAACTTTCCACCCCCACGAAATCTTCTCTTGTTACAGAGTAATACATTTAAGCAAAACAAACCACACAGTGATGGTGTCTGACAGCAAAAACAACACTCGGCACGAGTGCAACATTTTAAAAAAAGGATATGAATAGTCTGGAGAGCCTCTAAAGGGAAAGATAATAGAGTAGCAAATAATCAATCAACAAGCATTTATTAAGCGCTTACTATCATAGGTTTAGATAGACCTTGAAGGGACCTTAGAAGCCATCTAGAATAATAGGAAAATAAATTTAGAGCTGGAAGGGAATTTAGAGGCCATCTAGTCCAACCCCTTCATTTTACAAATGAGGAAACTGAGGCCCATAGAAGTTAAGTGACTTGCCCCAGGTCACAGAGTTAGTAAGTCTCAGAGTTGGGACTGATGAAGGAGTTGGGGCTCTTTAGCCTAGAGAAAAGGCTTAAGGTAGACATAATCACTTTTTATGCAGAAGAGGGGCTAGACTCTGTTCTGTTTGGTCCTGGATGGCAGAATGGGACAAATGGCAGAAGTGGTTGAGAGATAGATTTCTGTCCTATAAAAGGAAAGGAAAAACTCCTTCCCAGTTAGGAGCCATACCAAGGTGGAACAGACTGCTTCAGGAGTGAGGGAGGTTCCCCTTCGCTAGGGGTCTTCAAGCAAAGAATGAATGACTCCACGTTGGGTCTGCCGTCAAGGACGCCCTTGCTCAGGTTTGGGTTAGACTACGTGGCCTTTGAGGTCCTTCAGGCTTCTGAGATTATGTGATTATGTAAATGTCAGGATGGGTATGCCGATGAAAGAAAGCATTTTCAAGCACATGTACATCACTGTTCATCTCACTTTTTGGTTTTTTATTGCCTAGTATTGACTGATCACAAGGTTTAAAACCAGTGAATCAGAGAAATAAAGAGTTGTAATTGACCATGAATCTCATTTAGTCCAATGTTCTCATTTTACAGATGAGGGAACTGGGACCCAGAGACGGAAAGTCACTTGTGTTTCTTCACATAACTTATTAATGGCACAGCTAGGGATAGAACGTGGTGTTCCTGAGTCCCGTCTTCTGTGCTCATTCCATTACACTAGGTTGAGCCCCTACTCTAACATGTATAATTTTTGCCAATAGAAGGATCACTATAGAAAGAATAGATTATTTTAAATAATAAGGAATAGACATTTTAAACATAGAGGAATACCGACATTCCATTCTATAAAAAAGGGGAAAAAAGGATTGGGGGGGTGAAATCTTTGCCATTAATATTTCCAGTAAAAAATCTGACATCCAAAGTCCATAAAAAATTGACATAAATTTTTGGAGAAAAATCTATTCCCTTGTGGACCTCAAAGGTTGTTCTCAAAAGAAACACAAATGATTAACAACTACATAAAACATTGTTCAAACCCTCAAGTGATAAGAGATACCAAAACAACTCTAAGGTACTACTCTATATCCATTAAATTGGTGAATATTGATAATGATGACATTCAATGTTGGCAGGGCTGTGGAGAAGCAGGCACACTATTATGTTGCAGGTGCAGCTGTGAATTGGTGCAATCTTTTTGGAAAGCAATGTAACCATATATAATAAAAACTATTCAACTGTAGGATCTTTGACCCAGTGATCTGACTCCTAAGATCATAGGATCATGGATGTAGAGGTGAAAGAGATCTTAGAGGCTGTCTAATCCAACCCCCTCAATTTAGTAATGAGGCCTAGGGAAGAAAAGTGACTCGCCCAATGTCAAGCAGGTAGTGGGCGTCAGAGGTGGGATTTGAACCCAGGCTCTCTAACTGCAGGGTCAGAGCTCCTTCTATCCATCGTATCACGCTGCCTAAAAAGGAGTAGAAGACTTCGCTGTGCTAAAATAGTCATAGTGGTCTGATTCGTACAATTTGTGCTTCAAAATATAATTGCACCATAAGAAATGACAATTATGAAGAATGAAAATATGGGGCGAGGTCTATGAAGTGATGCAGGGCGAAGAAATAGAATTGGAACAGCAACATAGAGACTTACTGCAATCATGTAAAAAAGTAACAGCAACAAAATCTGAAAAAAAATACATAGAAGAAAAAGAGATCAGAAAGGGACAAAAGAGCAAACAGGACGTTTTTGTTATCTTCTTAAAAGTTAAAATACATGTCTTTTTAACCAATTGCAAATGTGGTTTACAATTTCACATAAAAAATCATTTCATTTTGTTTATTTGAATGTTCTATTGGTGGCTATTAAGTTTAGAATAAAATAAGCCTTTTAAAAAAGAGAAGAAAAAAGGAGAATATTGACATCCAATAGATTTCCCCTGAGAATATAATGATTGTTAATAATGATAATAATAATAATAATAATGATAGCTAGCATTTATATAGTGCTTTAAGGTTTATAAATTGCTTTACAAATATTATGTTATTTAAACTCACAACAACCCCAGGAGGTATTTGCTATTATCATGCCTATTTTATAGATGAGGAAACTAAGGCAGACAGAGGTTAAGTGACTTGCCTCAGTTCACACTGTTAGTAAGTGTCAGAGGATGGAATTGAATTCAGGTCTTTCTGGCGTCAGTGCCAATGTGTTATACCCTGCATTATAAGACTGCCTCCATATATCAGTGGTTCTCAAACTTTTTTTTTTGATCATGGCACAGTACCATTCTCTGAATGAGGAATACAGGACACTCACATGTGCACATGTGCAAAGGGTTGCAAGTGTAAATTCAATAAAATTTGTGGAAGACTAGAACAGGCCAATGGGACTGGGTCAGTTCCATACAATAGCTGGAAATACCCTTTGAGAACCATTGTGTTATACAATCTTGTCAGTAATCAATCAATTGGCAGGCATTTATTAAACTTTTGCTATATAGGAGGGGCAGCTAGGTGGCACAATGGATAGAGCACTGTCTCTGAAGCCAGAAAAACCTGAGTTCAAATCCATCTTCAGGCACTTACCATGTGACCTTGGACAAGTCACTTCACCCTGTTTGTCTCAGTTTCCTCACCTGTAAAATAAGCTGGAGAAGGAAATAGCAAACCACTCCAGTATCTCTGCCAAGAACACCAAGAGTCAAATACAACTGAGACGACTGAACAACAACTATATAGGAGGGGTCCTATGTAATCTTTGGGATGAACCATATGCACAGATATATAATTATAATAACATTATGCCATTGTCCTAACAATTCAGAGGGAGAGGAGATGGACCAAGTGGTCAGTGACTTTTACAGCTCAGATTTCCCTCCTGACCTCTTTGAGTTTGGCGGCATACAGGCACAGTCCTGTTTGGGCTTTGGTGAGAATCATGGCTTCTTTCATTACTCCTCTTTGGAAATATTTACTGTAGCAGCAGCAGCAACAACAACAACAAAATCATCTATCCATCACAGGAAATTCTCTACAAAATGGCCCTATGTCTGTATGATTTATCTATTAGGCAAAAGTCCATATGGTATCCTAGAGCATAGGATGAACAGCATGGAATAAGTATTGAACTGAATCGAATCGAATTGAATTCAACAAGCAGGTAGAATAAACTTGCTCTATGTAAGGCACTCTGCTGGATGCTGAGGATACAAAAACTAAAATAAGAGACTTCCTGTCATCAAGCTGCTGATATTCTATAGGACGGATACATATGTACATCAGTAAATACAGTATACATATAAACTGATTTCAACCAGTGAAATGAGAAGATCATTAACAACCTGACAGGGTTGGGGATAGGGTTTGGGAGTGGGGTGGGATGGGGGTTATTTCAGCCCACAAAAGTACTGCACTATTCTGTTCTGAACACGAGGGAAACAATTTTTCCTCTAAGGAAACCTATAGGAAGCCCAACTTTGGTCTCTTTCAGCACCATCATTATAACCTGTTCTCTTCTTTGCATGGGGAGGATCCAGCTCCCAATTTCTCTACAAACAATCAGATTTATTTATGTAATTTCTTCTCTTCCTTGAAACTCCCTTCCCCTCAAACTTTACACTTTAAATGCAATGTACAATTAAATGTCACCCAACAATACCACCATTAGATACACACTCTAAGAGGCCCAAAACACAGGGAAAGGGGAATAGTATCAAACAAACATTTATAGGGCATTTTTTGTAGTAACAAAGAACTGGAAATGCAATGAGTGCCTCTCAATTGGGGAATGGCTGAGCAAATAATGGCATAAAAATGGAACAGAATATTATTGCATTATAAGACAGAATGGAACATTATTGAACTATAAGACATAATGAATATGAAGAACTGAAGATTTGAATGAAATGATGCAGAACCAAGTGAGCAGAACCAGAACAATTTATATGACTCTAATAATGATGGGGGGAGAAGTAAACAACTTTGAAAGACTTCAGATGAATGCAATGAGTAAATATGACCCCAGGGGACTAATAGTGAAGTGTGTTTTCCACCTCTTGGTAGAAAGGTGATTGACTAAAAGTGACAAATAAGACTAACATTTTCAGACTTAGACAGCGTGTTGATTTATTTTACTTGACCATACTTATTTATGATATAAGGAGGGCTTTCTATTTAAAGGGGGGCAGGTGGACAACAGTTAGTCAGCAGTAAAAATGATGCAAAAAAAAGAAAACAAAAAAAGTCAATTTTAAATTAACTTTAAAATTGACGGAAGAGAAGAGCACAAAATTCAGAAAGGACATAGATAAACAGGGTAGCAGCTGACTTCCTGTATCAAAGCAAAAACCAAAAGGGATGTGATGTGTAGGTGGAGGGTGGGATGGGGTGTATGTCAGGATTTTTTTTTTAATTTTTAGTCAGGAATTTGTGCTGGGAAGAAAAGTGTTATGTCAAAGTAGTATAGGTCTAAATCTCCTTCCCAGAATGGAACCAAAGTCATGTCCTTTGTGCAGAGGAACTTAGAATCAAATTTGAATTACTGATGCTTAAAGAAGTTTCTTGATTTCTTGATACTCAGCAAAACAAAAAGAAACAAAACAACTCCCACCAAAACCAAACCAAACCATTTTTTCTTCATGCTTGGATAACCCATAACTTGGAAATTTTCTCCCTGGGCTTCATGAAGCTCTTCATAACCAAGCCAACATTTTCTCTAATGGATGTAACCTGAAATGAAGGTGTGATAGAAAATGTGATTCAAAAGTGGGTTCAAAATCTAACTTTGCTACTTAAGATCTCTGTGACCTTGTGCAAATCACTGCTGCTCTTTGTACATCAGTTTCCTCAAATGTAAAATGAGGTGATTGGACGAGTAAATTCTAAGGTCCTACTTCCTTTAAATTTTAAATCTTTGATCCTGCATTTTTGTTTTTTGGATTTCTTTTGTGGGGGGTGGTGATGGAAAGAGGGAGAAGTCTAGCACTATGATTTCTTCTGTGATGAGAATTCCCATTTTGGGAATTTCCTACACAGAAGCAAGATTCACAACTTGTTTGTAACTTACAGACCCAAAGAGTTTTCTGGTGTCACTGAGAAGTTGAAATACTTGCACAAATCTAAGAGGAAAGATTTGAACCCAATTTTCCTGACTTTAAGACCAACCCTCTATCCACTAAAAATTAAAAATAAATAAGAAAAAATCTTTCTGAAGGAGTTGAAAATCACTGAAAGCTAGAACTGGAAGGCACTTTAAAGACCATTTACCAAAGATTCTTAACCTGAGGGTCCAAGAACTTATTCTTTTAATAGTTAAAAAATGCGTTTTAATAACTGCCTTTCAATAATAATCCTATGTATTTTATCTTTTTTGAATTTAATAATATTATCCTGAGAAGGTCTACAGGCTTCTCCAGACTGCCAAAGGGTGTTGTGCCATAAAAAAAGGTGAAGAACCAAGGATTCAGACCATTTTACAGATGAAGAAACTGAGGCCCTGAGAGTGGCTAGCCCAAAGTCACACTGCATTTGTAGCAGAGCCACAGCATGAACTCAGATCTTGTGACTCTAAGCCCTATACACTGACAATCAGAGGAATGTGGAGCCTGGGAGGAACTTGTTCCTGCTTTCTCTAGGATGATGATCCTGCGGATATACTTCTGTTTCTTTATGAAGAATTTGTTATTGCCTTTGGACCACTAGTTCTGCCAATGAGAGGTTGAGCAATTGCTCAGCTGAGAAGAGCCTGAAAAGATGACTAAGCCTGCTGTCCTTTCTTAGGACATCTAAGTTATCAAACATCTCCCTTGTTGATCTGCTCCAGTACAACAGAGATCTTAAAAGGAAACTTGCCATTTCTAAAATGCATGTCTATTTCCTCTTGCTTAGTCTATGACAGGAACAGCAAACCCCCTTTTTACTGAAAGACACTAATATATAGGAAGAAATCAATTGAGGACCTCATAGGAGTAAAAAGTATCTTTTTCTTTTCCTTTGAAAGAAGAATGCAAAATGTAAAACTTATTTTGATTTTTAAGATTAAAACCAGGCATCATAAAATATAATTCATTCAACAAATACAACAAATATTTTGAAATATACTGTTTCCATATTATGGGTAAGAAAATGGGTGGGGGAATGAAGAACGAAGAGGAAGAGAAAAAGCATCCAGAAGAAGGGATGTGTACAGAGAACAGGAGATAAAAGTAGAGCAGACATTCTTCCTTTCCCTAATCTTTTCCTTTAAACCTTCAGATGCCCTGCTCTGAATGGGATGGGGAAAGCAGGAGTAAAATCACTCCTCACTCTGCAGCCACAATGGTCAACACATTCTTATTTCTGAAGCTTGGCAAAATCAAGCTGAGGCTGTATTTTACTTGGCCCTTAAGGTTGGTGCCTGTTCACTCCAGGTCTAGCGTCTGTATTGGGAGACATTTACATCTCATAGGAGCTCTCCATAGTAACTGTTATATTTTTATTCCTGTTTTCCAGAATGGATTATTAGTGAACAGGCTACTCAGTGCACAAAACAACAAAACCTACCCAAATAACCTCACGGCACTTTGTGGGTTGTTGTATTTTGTTTTGTTTTTTAAAAGCCACAATCAACGTATTGACTGAAGGTTACTCAAAGAGAAATTTCTGTTGATAGCTAGTTCAATAGAAGAAAGTGTCTACTTCAGTAAC